GATTTACCCACCCACCACGCAATCACTCTTACCCCTGACGCAGGCCAGCTGCCAGTCGCCGCTCGCCCGCGAGCTCGCGTCCCTGCTCCGCCAGCAGCGCCGTTAGCTCCTCCAAGCGCGCCGCATGCTCAGCATACGCAGCTTGCAACGCAAAGTGCGCCGCCTGCGACGCCTCAAAGTCGCCGCGCTGGCGCTCAATATCGGAGGCCTTGCGGTTGGCTGCGTGGGGCGTTGGCAGTGGGAGTGCAGGGAGAGACAGCAGCTGTCGGCAATCTCTGGCTCCCTCGACACACTCTGTCCCTGATGGCAGAAGCCCCTGAAGCGTTGCTGCGTGAAGTGCTGAATACCACATGGTATGCATTAGCGGCCAACAAAAGTCGTGCACTGTGCTGCCCCTCCCACTTGCGCCCTCGAACCTGCAATGCAGAGGCGGTCCAACTCTGCCTCCAGCCCCTGCGCCCGAGTGCGCTCCAACCGGAACGCGTGCGCCTGGGCAATGGGGTATGCGTGCCAGGGACACGTCAGGTTCAGTGGTGAGGCACAAACTGAGCATCGTGTGAAAACTAAGCTTTGCACGAAACGCGACGGCCAAGATCCGCCACCTGCCATGACGCCTGCCCCAAAGTACATTCCCCATGCCTCCCTGCTGCTCAAACTCACCATGTCTGCGTAGAGGGCCGCCACATCAGCATAGCTCCTGCCCTGCTGCTGCAGGCCAGACACGACGCCCTCGGGGGACCGCCCCAGCACCTCAGCCTCGGCCGCCAGCACCTGCTGGTCGCTGCTGCCAAGCAGCCGGCCAGGCGGAACCGGCGTCATAGGTACGCCATCTGCATCCGCCGCACTGTCACCTGCTGCAGCTGCCTGCAGCTGCGTCGTCAAGTCTGCCACCTGCTGCTGGTAAAGCTGCGCCAGCTGCCGCGCATCTGCAGCCTGCGTCTCTGCCGCCTCGAGCGCCTCGGCATGGGCGCGTGCCGCAGAGCTGGCCTGCTCCTGCATCTCGGCCATTACATGAGTGGCCTGAAAGTTTGAATTGTAGTTGGGGTCTGCTGGGCTCAGGGCATGGGTGGGCTTCGAGGAGGCCACAATGTAGTGGCAGGCGCGTCCTTCCGCATTGCTGCAGCACGCATTTGAGAACGTGCGCGGCGCTTGTACCCGGCACTTGTACCTAGCAAGCATTCAGAGCATTCGCATCAGGCATGCAGGTTGTGGTGCGCCGTGGCAATGGAATATGCAGCCCAGATCTTCAAGGCAGAGATTATGAAAGCCCTATCAAAGGCCTCTCCTCGCAGCACCACATCACCTGTTCTCTCTTCTGCTGCTCATTGGTGGCAAGCTCCTCGTAGAGCTTTGCTTGTGCCAGAGCAGCGCGCAGCTGCTCGTTGAGGCTCCGCTCCTGCTCCCCTGCCTTGACCTCCAGGTGTGCCAGCTGCTGCTGCGACGTCACCAGCTGCACCTCCACGGTTGCCAGCCGCGTTTTGAGGCCCTCGCCGCGGGCTGTGGCAGCGTCCAGCGCCGCCTGCAGGCCTGACGCCTCGCGCTGCAGCCTAGTTGCGGTTGTGGTGCTGGCACGCTGCAGCGCTAGGAGTTCGAGGCTCTTTGAGTCCAGCGCATCGGTGGTGGCCGACAGCTGGTTACCCAGGGCCTTGGCTTGCTGCTCAAGGTGCAGGTATGAGGTGGGGGGGGGCGGGGCGGCGGATCACAACTGTTGTGTCGTTGAGTGCCGGCGCGCACTTCAGCGCAGTCGCCAACAATTAAGTCGGCCGCATCAACTCAAACATAAACATAGCCCATTCCTTTTTTACACATCACCTTACGTCCCACACCCCTTGCCCTGCGCTGTGCTGCAAGGCGTGGTGCGCCTCTGCCCGCAATCACCCTCGCACCTCCTGCAGCTGGGCCACATCAAGCTCCAGCCGGCTCTTGGCGCGCTCCGCCTCACGCGCCCGCGCCTCGGCTGCCGCCCTGTCACGGGCCAGCAGCGCCGCAGCCTCCAGCTGCGCCGCCAGCTCGGTGCCCCTGGCCTCCACTTGACTCTTGAGGGCGCCCACCAGAGCCGACAAGCTGTTGCGCTCCCCGCTGAGGGTGGCGACCTGGGCGCGGGCCTTGGCCTGTGCCGCCTCACGCGCAGCGGCCTCTGACGCCAGACGATCGCCCTTGGCACGCTCCACTCCCAGCTCCTGCGGGGTGCGCAAGCAGGCTGAGTCAAAGTGGGATGCCGAGGCCACTGAGGAGTTCAATGACGTCGTGAAGCAGCAACAGCATGTCGCGAAACGCTACATTACTGGTCCAAGTGCAAGGCGGCAGTGGCGACAGCAGCTCTTGCTCGCGCACCTTTGTGACTGCACTCGTGACTTCCTGCTGGGCTGCCAGCTCCTTTTGTAGGCGCTGAACTTCAGCAACCATTGCAGACCGCTGCTGTTCAACATCCTGTGTGTGTGTGTGTGTGCGTGCGTGTGTGTGTGTGCGCGTGTGTGTGTGCGCGCGTGCGTGCGCGCGCGTGCATGCGTGCGCGCGCGCATGCACGTACATGACAAAGTTGAGGCAGTTGACACACAATTTGCGGCCCTTGCAACGAGCGTGACAGCCTATCCAGAGCTGTGACCCTCTCGCAACCCCCAGGCACCCCGAGTGCAGGACCCCACGTCCGACGGACCTTGATTGCCTGCTGATGGTTGATCGTTGCCGCCTGCACGTCAGCCCGGGCATTGCTAAGCTCGTCCTCCAGCTCAGCTACCCGTGCCTTGAGCGCATCCTGCAGCTCCATCGCGCGCCGCCGTTGTCGTTGCCCGCGCCCGGTCGTCACAGCGCTGCCTGAGGTGCACGCCACCACCTGAGGCAGGATCACGGCCGGGCAGGGCTACTGCAAGCCGCTAGAGTGACCACGCGCATCCTATGCTACCTACGGAGGCGGGTACGGCTAGCATTCCAAGCCAGCATGATGAGTTTGGATCTGATCATTTGCAGAAGGCACAGCAAGGTGTACAATCAGCATGATTTCTGCGAGTTCGTTTTTGTGAATCAAGTGCCCTGCTGACCTTCAGGACCCTGACGAATCGTGCAGTGCCCGAGACGCAGCAGTGCCTTTGCCCAGGGCACACTGCTTTGAGCACAACAGTTTGCTGGCTGGTGTATAACGTCGTTTTAATCTGACATCACAGCATAGGCACACCAGCGTCGGCAAACGCCCCAAGGGCCTTCCGCCCCAGGTGCATTCGTTCGCAAGGCCTCACGCCGGCTCACCTAACGCGTCCCAAATATACTGATTTTTGTGAAGGTTGGTGTCGGGCCTCGCTAGAGGAGACCCTAGCACAGCGGTCCGCGACCGCGCCGCAGCGGCTGTGTGTGTCCAACACCGGAAGGCTCAGCCTACCAGGTGGCCGAACGGCACCGCTGGAGAGGCACAGCCACAACAACGATGTTTGTGGCATCTTACCTGGGCAGCTGCGCTGCCAGCATGGCCGGCTACTGCGCATGCTGGACCTGCTCCACTGTGACGCGCGAGACGATGCGGCGCAGGTGTGCTTGCGCTCGCGCAGTGTCTCCGTGGCAACATATTGTTGAACGGCTGTGGCTGCGAAACTTCAGCTGCTTGGGCCAGTTGAGAGCTGATGGCAAGACCTCCTCTGTGCGCCAGCGGTCGGTAACACCACCATCCTTGCCGGGGGCCCACCTTGCCCTTCCCCGTGCTGACCTGCTCTGCCACAGTGCGCGTCTGGCGTACAGCTTCCTGTTCTTCCTGGCCATCCTCATCAGCTGGGCGGGACGCGACCTGGCAAAGCCTTTGATTGAGAAAATTCCCTGTAAGCTTTGGTTCTGGCTGTATCAGGGGTAGGGCCGCCGGTTGCAATGGAAGGGCCGTGGGCCGGTTTGCAACCGGCGAGCGCCCGCGCACTGGCTATTGGATCGCAGGGCGTTGCTGTGCATCCTCACGCAAATGCTAGTTGTCGCGCCCCTGCGGGCCCTCCCCTGGCCTTGTCCGCCCACCCTTGGCAGGGATCATGCGGGCAGCGACAGGCTTCGAGCCCAGCGACAAGTGGTTTGGGCAGCAGGCCGTCTACCGCATCAGCATGGGCAGCTTTGTGAGTACGCCAGCGGATTATGCAAGGCATTCACATTGGGCGATGCATGTACCAACATGTTTGAGCCTTCTTTAAATGTTGTTGAGCACCGAGGCGCTTTTTGGTGTTGACCTTGCAATTGCGCCCCGATCCTTCCCCGCGCCCTCTCCCCCTCCCAGCTGTTCTTTGGCACGATGTCCTTGGCGCTGCTGGGCGTGCGCACCAAGGGCGACAAGCGCGGCGCCTATCTGCACCAGGGCAACTGGGCCGCCAAGCTGGCGGCGTGGCTGGTTTTCATCGCGCTGCCCTTCTTTTTCCCGAACGGCCTCGTGGTCGCGTACGGCTGGGCCGCACGCTTTGGCAGCGGGCTGTTCCTGATCATCCAGATGCTCATCCTGGTCGACTTCACTGCGGCTTGGAACGAGTCCTGGGTGGCCGCGGGAGAGGACGATGACCGCTGGCTCTATGCGCTGCTCGGCCTCACGGTCGCGTCCTACGCTGGCGTGCTCGCCATCGCCGGCCTGCTGTTTGCGTTCTTCAAGCCAGGCGGTGCCGGTAGCTGCGGCCTCAACGTCTTCCTGATCACCTTTTCCCTGCTGCTGTGCGTTGCCTTCAGCATGCTGAGTGTGCTGCCATGCAGCCGTGGCGGGAGCCTGTTCCCTTCGGCCATCACCTCGCTGTACGTCATGTACCTCTGCTACAGCGCGCTGCAGAGCGAGCCCAAAGACTACGCTTGCAATGGGCTCGCACACCGCATCAACGCCGCCAGCGGCAGCACCCTTGTCATCGGCATGCTCGTCACCCTGCTGTCTGTCGTCTACTCGGCTCTGCGTGCGGGTGAGCTGCGCTGTTTCAGAATGAGGCTGGACGACGATGCGCCAAGCGTCATTCGATTTGAGAGCCATAGGCTGCCAGTCAAGGGACAGGATAGTAAAAGCACTAGACGGCGTCCGCGGCAAGGCAGCTGTCCCGGAATATCAGTGCAAGCAGCACGCACCTGCATCTCGCGTCTCTATCGGAGGCGGTGTCCACCCCCGCCACCGTCAAGCTTGTCTCAGCGCTTCCTCCTTTTGCTGCACCTCCTGTCCCAGGGTCCAACTCTCAACTCTTCACTCTGGCGGATGACAATGACGACATTGCTGCCACCAGCGCCGGCCGGCCCCTGCTTGATGCGGAGGCTGTGGGCGATAGCGCTGATGGTGCCGCACCCGCAGCAGTGTCGGCAAGCCGCGCTCCAGGTGCGGACGCGACCGCGGCCCTGGACGACTACACCCCTGTCAGCTACAACTACAGTTTCTTCCACCTTATCTTTGCGCTGGCTTCCATGTACATCGCAATGCTGATGACGGGGTGGGGCGCTGTCGAGCAGGAGAAGGATCGCGTGGACGTTGGATGGACGAGCGTGTGGGTCAAGACGGGGGCCGAGTGGGTCACAGCACTCCTGTACTCGTGGACCCTTGTGGCGCCCGTGCTGTTCCCTGAACGCTTTGCTTGATTTACCCCATTCCGCATTTGTGGGCAGTTGCAGTTGATGCCGTGCCCTGTGTAACATAGCATTGCCTCCACATCCAGCTCGTCCAGCTGCTGCATTAAAGAGGTGCACACGAGCGATGCATCTCCGTGCAAAAATACTTGCATGTCCAACACGGAAGCACAAGCCTCAGCATGTTTGAAACTTAGCGGGTCCTGCGTGTAGCTGCCCAAATTCTGTCCCCCTCACTAAGGCAAGTTGAGCGAGTCAGGGTTGGTGGCAGGCTAACATCACAAACTTGTGCCCGCGTGACAAAGTGTCACAGGTGACGACGGCCAAGTAACCCCGTGCTTGGTCCAGTCGTGGGTTAACGGTTTGGTACTAAACCCTTTCACGATTGGACAGCGGTTATTGACGGTTGCAGACAATGCCTCTCGTCCCCTATACCCTAAACCCCTCTAATGCTGCTGCCAGCAACGCATGGTTGGTACCAGAAGGCTGAGTGCGAGCAGTGGTCACGGCAGGACTTGTTGAGCTGGCAGGTGCCAGAGGGGAAAACTGCAGGCGTGACAGGACGAGGGGGAACGT